TGCTCCCTGAGCCCTATTCAAGCCTACCCTCTTCCCCACATTCCTCATCCTAGAGTCTGCAAGCAAGTATAAGATGTAATCGGTACCTTGCTATTTAACTGCTGAATTCTGAGCTCTTTTTGGTGTAGTTCTTTCAGGCTGTCACTTAGCTGGGCCTGGAGATGTTTTGTCTCTGTTTCTAGGCTTGAAAAGTCCCCTCTCAGAACCTCTGAAGAAATCTGCAAGGGAAAGAACAATGAAAAATATACTGCACGCATGACAACGCACTCTCCTATTAGTTGTCTCTGTTTAGTATTCCAAGGTCAAAGCCCAACATTATTCCTAGGCCTAGAACTTGATCTGCTTAAGCAAAACAGCAAATGGGGAATAAACAGAAATATCCTAAAAGCCATCTGAAAATCCAAACAGTTAGGAAAGATCACTGAACTTGCACATACAATGGGTCCTTCTCAAAAGTTGTCTTAAAGCTGTCTGCAACACAGGAAGGAAAAAATAGCATATGAACGAGAACAAGAAAAACAAAAACCCAAAGCAACGTCCACACTGCTCTCATTCAATGTACACTAAAAGGTTAGCACTGAAGCATTCTCCTGGAAAGCATCACATGTACATTGTTCTAGCTTTTTCTTTGCATATATGCATGTGTGTGTCAGAGGGATAACGGGAGATTTCCTCCTTCCTCCACTGACATAAAAGCTTCTCACTGGAACATTATAGATGTGGACAGCAGAGTTCTTTCCTTGCTCATAATGTAATGGTATTGTACAGGCAGCAGGCAAGCATCCTTCTTTAGACCAAGCAAAATACTCAAAATATTCCACTCCACTTTTAGGACTCTGATACAGGGGAAAGAAGTCAGAAAGTGCAACGTTCAATCCTCAGCCTCTCTGGGCTTAAGTCAGGATTGTAGATCCCTGTCATGGTAAAAACAGCAATAAAAATTCAATAGGAAACTTAAAAATTAGAATGTGACATTAAAAGGAGAACTAAACCAGAAGATCTTAGATTCAAATACAGTGCAAGAGGCAATTCTAAAATAGCCAGAAAGAAAGACCCGAGAAGTTCCATACTGCTTAGGAGGACCTAAGGTGCCTAGGAAGCCCTGTCTCTTTTACTCTCTTTCTTGAAACATTAGGAACCATGAACTCAGGGAAGAGCACATAAGGGTATGCCAGAGTTTTCTAAAGGTTTTCAATGATCTGAGTTGCATTGTTGGTATAGTCCTTGGAGGCCACACAACAAAATCCAATACTGCAGTCTGTACAAGCTGAATACAAGCCACACGTGCTATTTTGGCTGAATTGCAAGCCTCACATTTCCATGCAATAAAGAATCTGTGTATTTCTACCCACCTTCATTTGGTACTGCTCCTCTACAATTTGAGACTTGCTGAGGGGCAGTCTCATTTCTTGCACGATCCTTTGTAAATGGCTCAGTTGCTTGTCTTTTTCTGCTATGACCATCAGGTACTGCTCCTTTATGCTGCTGTTCTGCTTTTCCCAGGTAGTTTTCTCTTGTCTGCCCAGTACAACACAAAGGAAATTACCAGGAAGTTACCAGTATCACTTATGATATCCAGGTATCCAGCTCAGAATGAGCCGAGGATGATTCTATTTCCTATCATTACCCCATGCCAGAAAAGAAGTTTTATAACTAAACCAAACCAAAACAACCCATTTAAGTACATGAACCTTAAAAGCAGGTCTAAGGAAGTATTCTGTATTTGGCTCAACACTGCAGATTGTTCAATGCTCACACTTTGGTATTCCTGGATATTGTTTTGATCTTGCTGCACAGAGAGTTTTGTCAAGCAAGTCATTGACAACGCCACTTGTCACCATAACATTATCACGGCCTCAAATATGCACCAGAACCATAGCATTGATCCCAACATGCAAACTTAAGGCCCTAGCTTCATTTACATCGTAGAAGCTAGACAGGAAATAAGTCTCCTTTTCTTTTATCAGGAGAGAAATAAAATTTGTAAGCTGCTTCAAACTTTACGAGATCCAAAGTGTTAGTTTGAGGGTCCGACTGGGGGCAGGGGAAGGGGGAAGGAGCACTACAAGTTTTTATATCGCTTTGGACAAAAATAAGCCATACATCTTTCCACAAAAAAAAAACAAACCATCCCTTTCACTTGAGGTTCAGTCATTCTTAGACGGATCTCTGAGGTACCTGAAAGGATTTTTTTCCCCATTTTTAGAATGAAGCATATTTGTCTGACTAGTTTTAGTCTAGTTGGAGATGACAATTTACTAGAGACTTGAATTACAGACTTTTTTAAAAATAGAAGACATAAAGCAAGTAAAACAAAGGATTAGACAGTCATACAAAATGAGTATTTTCTAAACAATTATATCAGTGGGATAAAAAGGGTGTTCATCATCAGCTTGGAATGGAGAGTTCTGTAACTGTATGTCCTGGTTTCAGCTGGGATGGAGTTAATTTTCTTCTTAGTAGCTGGTAGAGTGCTGTGTTTTGGATTTAGGATGAGAATAATGTTGATAACACACTGATGTTTTGGTTCTTGCCGAGTAGAGTTTACACTACTCAAGGACTTTTCAGCTTCCTGTGCTCTGCCCGGTGCACAAGGAGCTGGGAGGGGGCACAGCCAGGACAGCCGGCCCACACCGGCCCCAGGGCTATTCCATACCGTATGACACCATGCTCAGTATATAAGCTGGGGGAAGAAGGAAGGAAGGGGGGGACGTTCGGAGTGATGGCGTTCATCTTCCCAAGTAACTTGTACGCGTGATGGAGCCCTGCTTTCCTGGAGATGGCTGAACACCTGCCTGCCCATGGGAAGTAGTGAATTAATTCCTTGCTTTGCCTGTGCACACGACTTTTCCTTTACCTATTAAACTGTCTTTATCTCAACCTACGAGTTTTCTCACTTTTACTCTTCCAATTCTCTCCCCCATCCCACCAGGGAGGAGGGAGTGAGCAGCTGCGTGGGGCTTAGTTGCCGGCTGGGGTTAAACCACGACACTATATACATAAGCTCCAATACAAGAAACAGCCTAAGTTTCCTCTCAAACAGATGATATTGGCCACCACTGGATGAAGGAAATAAAAGTTACAAGGTCACTGATCTATTTCACACAGGCATTTCCTTCCAACATGTTGGGCTGTTATCCTTCACTCTAAGTCTGAGGCAAAAGCTGAACAAGGGAAACGTGCCCACTCCTGAACCGCCCACTCCTGAACCAGGCAAAGTGATTTAGTGACAGCTCACACAGGTAAGGCTGAGGTTTTCAATGCTTTCTTTGCCTTCTGCCTACAATTGCTCTTTGAATGAAAGAAACGGCACATTTGCATCTCTGAGACAGTGAGAAGACAGACAATGCTCACCTAAGCTGCTGGAGCTCCTGCTGGTAGAAAATACTTTCTTGCTTCAGCTGTTCTTGGAGATGGTGCTGTTTATCTGCGTCTTGCTGATATTCCTGCAGTTGTGCTTTTAAGCGAGAATTTTCAGCTGATTCTACCCCAACCAGTATGTATTGCTGCTGCAGATTCTTCAGCTCTCTTACCTTTAATTAAAGGGAAATATCAGAGTGCGTGACAACCAAGCAAGCAGCTAGGTTTATTACTTACTTATAAGTGGTTAAGAGCATTTCTCACTGTGGCATCTGGAGGAAAAAAGTCACATTCAGATGACAGAGAAACTAGAAATGGAATCAGTGATTACAACAGTCTACTAACAACTGCTCAGAAAAAAAAACCCTCAGAGAATTCTATTGTTAATGAGAGTAGTGAATTTTGAAACCTTCCATGAAGATCTGACACACTAACAAAAAGACCCTGGACTACGATATTAATTCCCTTATTCAGAGGAAGACAAAGTGAGACAGAAGGAGCTGGTTAAGAATAACTCCTGAAGTTGGTATTTACTGTAAACCAGCGAACTGAGGAACTAAAATCCTTTTGACAGTCTACTCAGACTGGAATTAGAAATAAGGTGTCATTACACATCCATCACTGCAATCAGTTTTCAAAGACAAGAAGAGGTGACTGACTCTGGAGACAGGTAAGTACTTAATGAGTCAGGAGATCCCTCTACTGGGGCTCTATCTTAGTATTAGCAGATATGCAAGTTCACGTTACACAGATAGGCAAGTTCAACAAAACAGCAGTAAAGGAGACATAAGTCTACAAATAACTGAGATATAAAATGGACAAGAAGGAAGATGTGTTTAAGACAGAATTCACAACAGACTTTGTGATAAACGGAAGAAAAAACTAAGACAGACTAAGTGACGGAGGAAAATGATTGTAGAAGTCTGTTATCTGACCAGCAACTAGAACTCTGAAACTTGCTGAGCCGCATTGTGCCAGAGACTGTACAAACACAGACACATTAAGTATGCAAGCAAGGATGTCAAAATGATGCTGCAATGCCTTGTACCTGTGTCTTGACAATCAGCTGCCAAGAGGAGAAACAGACCCAAGTCTGTGCTCTACTCTCTTCTAGAAAGCCAAGACAGATCAAATGCATGAGCTTCCATGGACGTGGACTAAGCAGGTTAACAGGGAACCCATATCTTATTTCTATGATTCCATATTTTGAATCAAGCTAAGAAGAGAAACCACCCTGCAAAGTTAACAATGAAATCACACCTTTCATATGTCAGAGAAGATAACATAGATGGCACATACTAAATCCATGGGATCTGCTGGAATGTGCCCACAAGTGCCGAGGTCATTGGGAGGCAACTCAATTACCTTTGAAAGGTCATGGTGACTGGGAGAGGTTCCTGAAGACTGGAAGAAAGCAAATGCCATCCCTACCTACAAGAAGGGCAAGAAGGAGGGACTGGGGAACTGCAGCCTGGTCAGCCTCATCTCCATCCCTGGGAAGGTGATGGAGCAACTAATCCTGGAAACCATTTCCAGATACATTAAAAAAACAGGTTGCCCAAAGAAGTTGTGGAATATCCACCAATGGAGATATTCAAAATCTGACTGGACACCGTCCTGGACAACCTATTCCAGCTGATCTTGTTTGAGCAGGGGCATTGGACTAGAAGATCTCCAGAAGTCCCTTCCAACCTCAAACAATTCTGTGATTCTGTGAAGACAATGATCTGTTTTTCACATTGCAAATACCAGACACGTGTGCTGAATTTTAAGATCTCAAGATCCAAATCTCCTATGGGGCTTTAAGTAAGAGCAGGAAGAGAGAACAAGGACTTACTACTCTGTCTCTGTCATTCTGCAAGGAGGACAGTGCCTTCTTAAGGCTCTGCACTTCTGAAGGACTGGTGGAAGTGCTCCCTTCTGCTTGTTGCTTCACTTCTTCAATCTTATGTGTTTTGCCCAATTCATTCAGCAGGCGGTCTCGCTCATTCTGCAGGCTTGCCATAGCCTTGGAGAAAGATTTGACTTGGTTGGAAGCGCCTTCCAGTTCCGAAGACAAATGGAGAAGCTCATCGTCTTTGGCTCTGAGCTTCTGATTAAGTTTCTCAATCTGGGCCAAGAGACCTCTTTCATCAGTGGCTTTCTGCAGTTCTGTCAGCTCAGACCTCACTGTATCTCGGTCCCTGGCAGTGGAACGTTGCTCCTCTTGTAGCTGAACTATCTGTTTCTGAAGATTCTGCACTAGAGTCTTTTGTTCCTCTAAGTCTGCAGAGTGTTTCTGTTTCAAAACATGAAGCTCTTCATTGGCCTGGTCCCGGCTATCCTGAAGAGAGCTCATGGACTTCCCAAAAGACTGAATTTGAGCTCTGAGATCTTTGTTTTCATCTGTGACTGCAAGAAATTTCTGTTCCATTTCCATCAAGTCCCGTGCCAGCTCTGCTACTCTCTCTTCTGCTGTTTCTGTTTCATTCCTCATTATCCCTGCATCATGATGTAGGTGCTTCAATTCCTTCCAAAGCCTGTCCTCAGCCTCTCCCACTCTCTTGGCTGCATCCCTTTGAACACATACTAGTTCCCCCTCAAGTTCTGTTATCCTTTGCTGCGAGAGGGAAAGCTTATGACTCAGTTCTCGTGCCTCTTCCTCTCGGACCTTCAATTGTGCTTGACACTCCATGATAGGACCCCCTTCACGTAATGCTGTCATCTCACTCTGCACCTGAGACAGAGAGGACGTAAGGGTTTCAATCTCTTGAGACATACTGACTTTATCATCTTTCAAGGCTTCCATGCACTTCCTGAGATCATCCTGAGTATGCTCAGACTCTTTCAGCTGTGTTTCTATGATTGCCTTCTCTTTTTCCAGAGTTTGGATCCGCTGAAGCTGTGTTTTGAGCAGTTGTTTCTGTTGGGAGTCCTTTATTGAAATCACTTGGTTCAGGTCTTCTCTATACCGCACCAACTGTGCACTCAGCTTGGCATTCTCAGAGTTGAGGTCATCCATCCGGCTATGAAAACTTCTGATTTCTTCCTTGAGCTTATTGTTTTCAGCAGCAGCCTCTTGAATTAGCTGGTCTTTTTCCAAGATTATAACAAGATGACGTTCCTCAAGTTGCTTGTAGTCTCTCAATATGCGGTCTCTGTCATCTTGCAAAGATGACATGGACTTGGTGAAGGAGTCCAGTTGTGCCTTCTGCTGCTTACTTTCTTCTCTGCTTATTTTCATCTTTTCAGTGAGATGATCAAGTCTGTCAAGAAATTTGTTCTTTTCATTTTCCAAGGCTTTTTTATCTTCTTCCTCCTTACTTAGCCTATGCTCCAACTCTTTCATCTCTTCAGAATGTTGCTGCTGTAATTCAGATAGAGCAGCCACAACTGCTTCTTCCTTGGCAGACAGCAAACTAATGATCTTTTGATCCTTGGCACTAGTTTCTTCATGCAGCTTATTTGTTAGGTCCTTGGAAGCTTGCAAATCAGCCTCAAGCTGTTCACAGCTGAATTTAAAATTCTGGATAGTGGTCTCTTGTTGCTTGACCATACTCCCCAGCTCTTCTCTGACCAATTCACATTTGGTAAAGGAATTCTGTAAGTCAGCAAGCTGGCCTCTCAGGCTGCTGATTTCTGATTCCAGTTTCTGCTGTTCATTCTGAGACTTGCTGTACAGTTTCTGAGACCCTTCAAGCTGAGTCAAAAGCTCCTTTTTTTCCTCCTGCAACATTTCACATGTCTTTTGATGATGCTGGATCTCCTTCCTGGATTCAGACTCCCAGTCTTTCTTGTTGCGTTCCAGCCTGAAAATAAAGAAGAGAAAGTCAGTCACAAATCAATGAAGTATCTCAGTATCCAAAACCACAGCAACAGTTTTCGTTGATTCTACTAATTTAGAAGAGCCACGAAATTAGCTTTACTTTAAGAAAGCAAGCTGGAAATATCCAGATGATTAATTTTCCCTCAGTTTAAAATTCAAAGCATCTTTTAAAGTTCTGACTGCACTACTGTCCGAAGGGAGTGGTGCTGAGGGAATATTTTTTAAAAGTTGTCCAGTGAGATAAATCTTTATGTCAATATTGAAAAAATGCAGGAGGTTAAACATTGAACGTTATCAGCTCCTTTTCATTAAAAATACTTCTTTCGCTCATCCATTGTAGAAAAAAAAAAAAAAAAAAGAAATCACTGTTCTCATATGCTTGATGTTCATTTCATGTTGCAGCATGCAAAGATATAGCATTTTGATCACAAACTTTATAGAACAATTTTACTCATGTAAGAACAGTTTCGTTTTGAATTTTGGAAATTCCCAGATGTACATTTTGGTATGTTTCCACAGCTCCATCTTTCCCTCAAAATCTATTTTGGGATTAAACCGGAATGATGTAACCCAATGCTCTCTTGACCTGCCAAGTTTAATCTCTGAATGCAACAACTCTATGCACAATAACCTATTTCAAATTTCAGATTAATAAGGACTCTAGATAGTACTCAGATGGCTACTGCTTCTCACAGAGAACAGATTTAACATGGGCACCCTAATGATGAGAAGAAGAAATATTTTAGTGTTAACCTCCCTGCATCCTTGCGCATACAACAAATACATAGTAACTCCCTGCAACTTAACTACAAACCTCTTTTCTATCCAAACATAAGTGATCCAGGAGATGAGCCTTATATTTATGGCTTTATTAGGAAAACTAATTCTGCTCTCCATCTTAGGCATTCATTAGTTTTGCCAATCACATGTCACACTTAGCATATTTACATACTCAAAATCCTTTCTTTCTGGTATACTGCAAAAGGAAAGGGGAATCCTACCTCACCTCTGGCTGCTGCTTTGCCAAAAGGAAATAAAAGAATACCAGCTGAGTCATTATCCCCTTCTTTACCTGGATATATGAGCCTGAAGTTCTTCCACATGTATGGTCATCTGCTTCATCTGGTCCTTTAGCACAACACAAGTTTCCTCTTTTGAACGTATTTCTTCCTCCTTCTTTTGAATAGATTCAGTGAATTTCTTCTCCCATGTTTTTGATTCATCTATCACTCTATCCCTGTCATCCTGAAGGGAAGACATGCTCCTGGTGAAGGCTGCAAGCTGGGCTAGTGTTTTGTTTAGGTTGCCTTCCAATTGCTTGGCTTCTTGATCCTTTGTCTTCAAGGAGTCTTGAAGATCACTAACAGTTGTTTCCATACAGTCTTTCTCCCTCTGCAATGTTGCCAGCTTTTCTTCCATTTTTTTAATTTCCTTTGAGTGCTTGTCTTTCTCCTGTTCCAGTCTTCTCTCAAAGTCCTCATCTTTCTTCTTCATTTGAATTTTAATATTCTCTTTGTTTGCCTGCAACTCTTCTTTCACTTTGACACTCTCTGCTAGAACCCTTGCTGCCTCACTCTGGGTGTCATCCAATACTACTCTGCAGAGAGCAAGCTCTGCTTGGGCTTTCTTGGTGTCTTCAACCGCTTTAGCTAAAGTCTCTTTGGCTGCTTCTACCTCTTTCTGTGACTCACTCTGCAGAAATTCCAGAGCTTTAACAGTTCTTTCTAAACTACTGTTCTTTTCCTGGCTTTTAATACAGTCCTTCTGCAGCTGCTTAATCTCCTGCTGTTTCTGTTTCAGCAGTTCCTGAAGCTCCTTTACATGTGTGCTGCTGTCTCCCCTCCAACTGCATTTTAGCTTTTCTACAAATTCCTTTTGCTTTTCTGAACTTGCTTTACTTTTCTCCTTTGCCATCTGACATTTCTCCTCCTCCAGTTCATGCATCATTCTCTGCAAACTCTGAAGCTCATGTTTCAGTTGCTCATTTTTGATTTGGAAGTCTGTTGCATCTTGCTGGTAGTTTCCAATACTCCCATTAAGTTCTGCCAGCTGATTCATGAGCCTTTCTTCCAAATCATCCTTCTCAGCCTCTAGTGTGTCCTTCAGTTCTGTCATCCTGATGAGATCGTCTTTGGTTTTTTGGACCGTTTGTTCCATCTTTGCTACTGTGTCCTGAAGAGCATTCAATTCATGGACTTTCTCTTCCATTTGGGTCTCTAAAGCCCGTTTCTCACCTGCTAAAGTCTCAACACACATGCGGATGTCACCCAGCTGTTGTTCTGAAGCCCTCCTATTTTCTTCTAGTTCTGTGATTCGCTCTGTGAGCTCAGCTATCTGCTGTATGTAGGTACCAAGATCTTCACAAGGACTACTACCTTCAAATGCTTTTTGTTCCAGCTCTGCAGCAGGAGACTTTGGTCTATAACTTATGTCCACCTGATTTTCAGTCCTCTCCATTGGTGGTGGTGTGGCAACTGCCTGATCTGTTTCTTCCCCTGTTGTCTTCTGAGCAACATACTTGTCTACCAGTTCTCTGCTTTCCTTCAGCTTAGATTCTGTTAACTGCAAATGACACTTTAAGTCTGTGATCTCTTGAGTAAGAGACTCCTTTTCAGCCATTACTGTCTCAAGCTGAGTAGAAAGAGACTGGTAATCCCTCCTAGGGCTCTCCAGATCTTCTTTCAGGCTACTATTTGTAAAGACATTTCTAGTCCTGTGTAGCTCTCCATCTGTAAAACGCATCTCTGCTCTAAGCTTCTCGTTCTCCTCCTCTAGTTCCAGGATCTTTTGTTGCTTTGATTTTGCAAATTTCCTCATTTTCTCCTTCATTCCATCAATTTCCTGTCCAGCTTCCTGTAGCTGCTTATCTGTTTCCTCCTTTTTTGCTTCAACACTTTTCAGCTTAATGAAAATTTCCTGCTTTTCCTGCCTAACAGTTTCCAAAACACGCTGAATCCGCTCAGCCTCATTACTCACATTCTCATATGACTGCAGGAGAGTTTCATATTCTTTCTGAAGCTCCCGGTATTTTTCCTGCCACTCGGAACTCTCAGCGGCTTGAAAGCATTTCAAGGATTCCATCTCCTTCTCCAGCTTCTCCTTCTCTAGAACAACTCTATCTAGAGTAAATGTCAGGTTTTTACAGCATCCATCAAGATTCTGATTTTCTGCAAGTACTTTATCAACTTCTGCAATAAGTTTTTCTCGCTCTTCAGTGAGGCCCACTAACTTTTCTCTTAAAGTATCTGTTTCTTTAACATGGCCACATATTTGGCTTTCCATATTCGTCAACTTTACAGAAAGATTTTCAATAGTAGTTTTAGCATTAGCCAGCTCCTCTTTTAGAGATTTGCTCTCCTTTAGTGCCTCTTTTCTAGAGATAAGTGCAGCTTGCAACTTTCTCTGCATTTGATTCTTCTGTTTAGCTGCTTCTGCACCGTCATCTTGCTTCTCCTGAATTTCAAGCAACTCTCTTTGCAGTCGCTTGCTTTGTTCCTCATGTACCTGAGCTTGAGTTTCCAACTGACTACACAGTCTCTTGACTGAATCCTCTTTTTCTGTCAACTGTGCCTGCACATTATTGAGAGCTTCACTTTTCTCCCTTAACTGCAAGTTAAGAAATTCCATTTCTTCATCCTTCTGGTGCATAAGTGTTTTCAGGTCTTCCAGACTGCCCTCTCTACAAATTTTTGCTCGACTCTCCTCCAATTCTGCCTGAAGACTTGCTGCCTTCGCTTCAGCTTGGTCAGAGGTTCTCTTCAGCCTTTCTATCTCCAGAAACAACTGTGCTATGTGCTCTTGCAAACGAAAGGCTAATTCTGATTTGCAAGCAAGTTCACTTTCCATATGGCTAATGTTATATTCCAATTCCTCTTTCTCCATCTGCAATTTTTCAAGTTTTTTCTTAAACTCTTCCCCAGAAACATCTGCAACTTGTACAAGCTTGTTATTTGTTGTATTTTCTGCTTCCATGCATGAAGAATCCAACCCACCTTGATTCCCAACAACACTCTCTGTTGATCCTTTCTGTTCTTGGAGTTGTCTGAGCTGAGCTTGGATGCTCTCCTTCTCTTTGCTTTGCTTATCAAATTGTTCTTGTAGGATGCTGTAGTCATCTTTCTGCTGTTTCAGCTGTTCTCTGTGATGCCTGTCTTTTTCTTGAGCCTTTTTTATAGTGTCTTTGCGAGATACCAGGGCTTCCTGAAGTTTTTTTTGAAGTTGTTCTTTTTCTTGTTCAAGAGTTGTAATCCTCTCTTTCAGAGCAGACTTTTGGTTTTCTTCAAGGTTTGTAGCTGCTGAACTATTTTTTTCATTTTCTTCATAATCTTTTGGGCTTTTATTGGTTTCCGTTACTTCGTCAGCAATTGTCTGACCCTCCATGATTTCATCTTTAATTGAAACAATGTTTGTCTTACCTTGCAAGCTTTGCCTCATTTCCTCAATCACTGCCTGCAATTGTGCTTCAGTAGTTTCTTTATCCAGCAGGTCCTTCCGGATGCTCTGCAACTCAGATTCCTTTTCAGAAAGCAGTTGCATTAGATACTCCTCACTGGCCTGGCTTTCAAGATTCACTTCTCTGCTTATCACGCTTGTCATGTTTTCTTCCCCTTCAGCTTCTTGAGCCACTGAGGTTCCTGATTCCTGTTCTCTCCTCAGTTGCACTAATTCATTCTCCAATTTGCTAACCTTCTTCAGAAGCTCCCTCCTGTTAACAAGTGCTGCTTGCAGCTTCCGCTTTACTTGCTCATTTTCTTTTTTCAGAAGTTCAAATTTATTTACTAATATCTCGCTTTCTTTACATGCTGCCTCTGTCTCATACTGCTGCTCATACGCCCCACAATTCAGATATGCATCTTTTCCTTCTATGTTTTGGTCTTTTTCTTCCTGAGCTTTTAATAATAGACTTGTTTGCTCTTTAAGACTCTTCAGCTCATTAGGACCATTTTCTCAGACATGGGGACACTGATCTCTGTCATCTGTTGGTCTTTTTCCAGCAAGGTTTGTTGCAGGCTCTCTATAGACTTGGTGTGTTCAGCAACAAGCTGTTCTAAGCTTGCTGCTTCACGTCCCTTTGAGGCTAAGTTTTGGGAAAGCTCTTCTATCTCAGCTGTATTCTTCCTCAAAAGTTGTTCTAGATCAAGTATTTCACATTCCTTCTTCTCGATCTGGCTTCTCAGATCTTTTAGTTGCATGTCCTGGTCAGAAAGCTGAAGTTGCGCTTCATCCAAGTCTTTTTGCAAAGCTTCAATTTTTATCTCCTTGGATTTGAATTCATTTTTAAGGCTCTGGATTTGTTCTCTCAGAAGACTGCTTTGACTGTCTGACAGTCTCTGCTTTTCTGAAAGAGCTAGATTTTCCTCAAGTTGCTTCATCTGATACAGGAGCTGATCTCGTTCTTCAGTCAAAACACAAAATGCACTGTCAGAATCCTCAAGTTTTTTTCTGTATTCCTCAGCCAACTGGTTAAGCCTATTTATTTCTGCACCTTTTTCTCCTAGATCTTTCTTATAGGATTCTTCTGATTTCTGCAGAATTATTTGCAGTTCTGTAATTTGGTTTTGTAACTTTATCAGTTCTTGAGATTGAGAGGTGCCAGGCTCTGGATCTGCTGTAGAGACTTCTTGCATTGCCTCCATCTCCCCTCTGCAGGGGACAGTGCTCCCCTGGGGCACTTCTTGAAGACTGATCCTGTTTTCCTGAAGCACACCAATTTGCCGCATTTCTGTTTCTCTCCGCAACGAGCTACTGCCCAACTCATTTTGTGTATCTGAAGCCTTTTGCTCTTCCCTCTCAATAAACCATATCTGGGAATTATCTTCCAGCTGGTTAGCTGCTTCTCCTGTTTGGTTACCTGTAGAAGTTTGGCCGTTTGGGCCCTTGAGCTGCCTTTTCAGAAAAGTTATTTCTTCTTGGGCTTCTCTCAGTTCCAGCAGCAAAACTGACAGCTCTTTCTGTTTCTCTGCAGCAAGATATTCTAGAATTCCAGGTGGACAATTTTCCTCAGTAAACTGCTCGCTTCCATTGGGACAGCCACCTGTTCTTGCCTAAAAGAAAATAATAGGTATAAATTTTCCTTTGAATCCTGTGAAAGGGTCACTTTTGGAAGTATCTGCTTTCCACATTTTGTAGTTCAAGGATATCCTTTCTTGAGCTGGCTCCAACAAAATGACCTGAGGGGTCCTCCTGTTATTAGTGAGGCTGCTATTTATTGCAGTAGCCTCACTAATAACAGGAGGACCCCTCAGGTCATTTTTGTTCATTTCAGTTTCTGAAGTTGCACCATGAAAGATTCTGGCTTTAGGATTAGGCCATAAATGTAACTTCCCATTCTCTTATTTCCCATTCTCTCTTGATTACAAGATAGTATGATTATGAAGTGTTTCATTTCTCCTATGATTCTCACAAGCCCTCCAGTGTACTCATCCAGACACATTTTCCTGACATCCTATCCATAGTCTCTTAATGAGGAGATTTTGTCCCCTATTCTCTCTGTCCATTTAACATGGCAAAGAAACAGGGCAGAAGCCCATATTCCAGTTTGTCCATCTCCAAAGTGAAAGCACTAGACAAAGCATCTGGACCAAAGTGCTTGGCTTTTTCCAAATAACTATCTTAAGGTTTCCTCCCACCCCCAAAAACAGATGACAAAAGAAAAGCAGTCACAAATACTTCCCAGAAATCATGGATCAGCAGCCCACCAATAAGTCACCATCTTGTGTTGTAAAGGCTGTCTGTTCATCAGTTTGGAGGGCAGAAACAATTTACAGGGAACCATTAAAGGAGAGCTATCTTTTAAAGCCTGTTGCAGTGTTGCAACAACCACTTTAAGTTACAGGATGTTAAAAAAACAACTCTTTGGGGCTTTTAGACTAAATTAAAGCTTTCATATCCACAGATGCATACAATACTGAGAGGGAAAAAAGTTCTGGACTAAATTTGTACCTCAGGGTGCACCAAGGTGTCATCAAAAGGCTTTTGCACTGCAGAATTCACCAGTTCTCCTGACACACCTAGTGATAAAAGGTACACTTGTCACCATCAGCATAACAACTTGCATGTAAAGTCAGTAGGTAAGTGGAGAAACAATATATGGGACTGAAGCTTCTCTAGTTTCCAAGGTGAGAAAGACAAAAACAAATAAAAAAAGAAGAGTGTTAGCCTATGCATTGCACTCAGACATCCCCAATAGCTCTGCACATGCAAAACCTCCTGCATTTGCTGCATGCTGGCATCACCTAAGTTTACACTATATCTAGCCTCTACAGAAGAGTGAAGAGGCAAAGAGACAAGTGAACTAGGTAACAGGTTGTTTTGTTTTGGGTTGGGTTTTTTTGGGGTTTTGTTTTGTTTGTTGGGTTTTTCTTAATAATTTGTGAGTGGGGGTGGGGGTGGTAATTCCAGACACAAAAAGAAACTTACTAGCTTGCAGAGAGGAACCCAGTTCTTCATCTTATCTTAATTCTCTTCTGTGTCTTACACATCAGTCTTTGCATCTACAAACACACTCTCCTTCAAACCCTTCTCCTTTTCTCATCTTCGGAACCATTTCTTTCTTCTCTTCTGATATATCCTGTCCATCCCACCCTAGAATGTTCTTTTCTACCTCATGTGCATCTTTTCTACCTCCTGTACATCTTTAGATTCTGACCTCAAAGCTCCTCTTTCCAAATCAGCTTAGATTTGTCCCTGAAACTTCTGAAATGTACACAATTTTCTTGTCACATGCTTTATTCTGTGTCCTCACCTGTAGAAGTAGAAGAGCAGTCTACATAAAAGGCTGGAGCTTCCACAGTCTGCAAGTCTTGCCATTTCGCCTCAGGTCCAACATTCTTATTCTATTGGTTGAAGAAAAAATACTTAGTTTTGACCCATGATCTTTGTATTAGAAGACAGCTATCTTAGCTGTCTGCTGCTCTGCCAAGCTTTTAGTAAAAACTATCAGTCCCAACTTTAGATGCAACTCTGATGCCTAATGAAAATAAATTAAAAAAGTAAATTGGTTTTGATGTTAAGCAAGAGCCATATCTCAGCAGATTAGGATATCAATGAATGAAACAATCTAATAACTTCCTTCCCACCTTGAGATGCTTCCTCTTCCATCTTCAGTTCTTCAAAGGGACCAACTATAGATTCATAACCTTTCACTGAACCACCCAAGCAGAGAAGGTGAAAAGTCATGTGTTTGTCACTGCATGCCTCACTACTCCAGCAGATAAAGAACCTGCAGTCTTCCCAGGAAATTTACATTAGGCTCCACTACACAGACAAACAAACCACCCCACAACAATCTATTAACTGCTATATGTCTCTAGCTTCTCTGTCAGACAGGACAGAACCTGACTGTTGAAGATGGAACACACTGGAAAAAGAGGAGGTTTTGCTGTTTCACAGACACAAACTCATTTTGCCCACACAAAGATGCTGAATAAAGCCCAGAAATCTGGTTAGTTTGCTGTTGACATCCATACAAGAACTAAGACTTCATCTATTAATTTCTTCATTCTGAAAAGTCCACTTATAAGTTAGCATGCACCTAAAACGAATGGCAATATTTCTGGCTAGTTCCGAACACACATTGTCTTTCACCACAACAAACAATTGGCACTGTTAGTACTACTTCTGTGGGAAAAGGTTTGAACCAGAGTACAAAGAGACTAGGAGTCAGAACTAAGTAAAGCGTCTCTAAAAAAAGCTACTCCCTCCCAACCCCCAAAAAACCAAATAAAAAACCCAACTCAACCTAACAATGGCAAGACTCAAAACAAAATGAAGTGTTCGGAATTAACATTTGCTGTAAGTACAGGGCACTAACAGGTCACACAATCATAAGGAAATGATCTCCAGCCCTAAGTTCTAGAGCACTTTGCCTTTGCAAGCTCCAAGCACTGATGTATGGCGTGCATCCAAATAACGTGCACATGACCCAAACCCCTGAACTGGGTTTGGAGTCACACATATCTTGGCCTAAAGTCATGGGTCAGATGCACAAATGGCAGGATACAGCTGTCCAACTATAAATACTTACATGCAAGCTGTTTGGCTAGACTCTTTTTATAATTAAGACATTGAAACAGACAATTCCAGGGTTGGAGTCATTGACCCATTTTCAAGATACACCTTGGTCCAGGTGAATCATATGCTAAAGAACCTGTTGTTATCTCCCCTGTCTACAAAGTGGCCCTAACAAATAGCTCAAAGGCTTATATCTGCCCTTGAAAAGACTGTGTGTGTGTGTGTGTACCCCTTCATCCACTAGCTTACACCTCGACTACAGGCAGTTGGAGTGTAAGGGTCTGAAGTCAATCAGCATGAGCTGACTCAAAATGTCTTCTCCAGTTCCGACATGAATCCCAAATGTCACCTTTTGCCCTAATACTTCACAGTAATATATACACTTTAAAATCTCTCTGTTGGAGAGGAAAGTATTAGATAAAACACAGCATTACCTCCTTCCCCCTGCGGGCAGGCTGGAACAGAAGGGAGCAGTGTGGAAAGAGCCGAGGCCTTGCTCTAAGCTAACAAACAATTCTACAACAGGTTCTTAGTAGAGATAAACAGAGGCAGTAATTTCCATCACCTTGCTGACTGAGTATAAAGCAAAGCAGCAGGTATCTAATCCTGCACTCTTCTCACCAATAGACTGACTGCAATTGTACCTGCCGCTGTTCACAGTGGAAGAGTACACGGATAGAGTCTACTTGTCTCCCACTTAACAAAGAGAACTCAGCTTCCTCCAGTCAGTCTGCCAGATCCCCATCACGGCAGTGGGAATGGATAGGGTTGGTTTGAAAGGCATCCTATAATGACAGCTGAGCCTTTGGAATTGTATTTCCTGAGACTTGCCTCGGTTTAGCCTATGGTTTTGCTGAAGAACTAACTCACAAGAGGCAGAAAATAGCACGAATATGGATTGGGTGGATGAAGGACACAAGAATTCCACACAGCCAGCAAAGGGAAATACAGTGTGATAAGAACACAGTACAAGCAGTATTTGGAAGCTATTTCTGTCTTTCATCATTAATCCAGTTAATAATAACCTTCCAAAGAGGATTGTTAAAAAAGGCCATAACAGCTTAGCTGTTTTAAGGCCAGTCCTTGACCTATTTTAGTTTATTTCAGCTGCTTAATCATTACCTGCTTCGCATTTTCTGTGACCACCACAGCTTCCTGCTGAGGCTCCTGGAGAACAAGTTGCAAGTGTGGTATTTCTGAAACATTCAAACACAAACAATTTGTTTGAAAATTAATACTCTGATTTAGAGAGTAACAGGGTATTCTTCCAGGAGCTTTAGAGAATAGGGCACACAGCTGTTAGTTACACTTATGTAGTGGAGATATATAACACTGTCATTGGTTTGGTTTTTTTATAGGCACTCAAGGGCCACGGTCCAAGTCAAGATTGGTACAAGAACTCAGCTGCTGTTTGACCCAAAATATTTTTACCCTTATATTTCTGTAAACTGGCATATAAACCCCATTTATCATAGGTACGTCACTGTATATGATGAAATGACTGACTTGGTAGATGAGAGGAGAGCAGTGGGTATCATCAAGGCCTTCAGTAAGGCTTTGGCACTCTCTCCCATAAGAGCCTCATAGAGAAGCTGTCGATGTATGGGCTGGATGAACAGACAATGAGGTGGATTGAAAACTGGCTGAATGGCCAGTCAAGAGGGTGGTGATCAGCAGCATGAAGTCTAGTTGGAGGCCAGTAACTTAGCAGTGTACCCCAGGGGTCAATACCGGGTGCGATCCTGTTCAACACCTTCATTAATGATCTGGATGATGGGGCACATCGCACCCTCGGCAAGCTTGCAGATGACACAAAACTGGGAAGAGTTGCTGATACACCAGAGGGTTCTGCTGCCATCCAGAGGGACCTGGACAGGCTGGAGCAATGGGCTGACAGGAACCTCATGAAGTTCAGCAAGGAGAAGTGCAAAGTCCTCCACCTGGCGAGGAACAACCCCATAGCACCAGTTTATGCTGGGGACCACCCAGCTGGAAAGCAGCTTTGCAGAAAAAGCCCTGCGGGTCCTGGCTGACACCAAGCTGACGGGGAGCCAGCAATGTGCCCCTGCCACAAAGAAGGCTCATGGTGTCCTGGGCTGCATTAGGCAAAGTATTCATTTGCCTCTACTCAGCGCTGGTGAGGCCACACCTCGAGTACTGTGTCCAGTTCTGGGCTCCTGAGTACAGGAGAGACATGGACATGCTGGAGAGAGTCCAACAAAGAGCCACTGAAATGATTAAGGGACACGAGTGTCTCTCCTGTGAGGAAAAGCTGAGAGGGCTGGGACTCTTTACCCTAGCGAAGAGAAGGCTCAGGAGCGATCTCATCCATGAGCATAAATACCTGAAGGAAGAGCATAAAGGAGATGGAGCCAAGCCCTTTCCAGTGGTGCCCAGTGACAGGACCAGAGGCAACGGGCACAAACTGAAACATAGGAGGTTCCCTCTGAACATCAGGAAACACTTTTTCCACTGCGGGGGTGACTGAGCACCGACACAGGCTGCCCAGAGAGGTGGTGGAGGCTCCCTCCTTGGAGACATTCAAAAGCCATCTGGATGTGGTCCTAGGCAACTGACTCTGGGTCCCTTCCAACCTCAACCATTATACGATACTCAAGACATACTCAAGACATTTTGATACTCCAAAGGAAAAGATAGGCAAAAAAGTGTCCTGTAACACATCTAGGAAAAAACCAATCATGTTTGAAAGCAATAATTATGGTTATTTAGCTTTCCTGATTAAGTACTACAGGAATAAGCTTCCATTTATATTTGATACCAAAAGGCACCATCTCAGTCTTCTCAATACCTGGGAAGACAGATAACATGTTCATTTCCACGCTGGCTACTTGCCAGTAAATGTCTGTCTTTAAACACTTTGAGGAAGTCTCTGTGTCACAGATCCTGAACCTTCTGAGAGACCTCAATGTCCCTGACATCTGCTGGAAGGGTAACACATTAGAACGCAAGCAATCTATGAGATTTCTGGAGAGCGTCAGAGATAAATTCTTGATACAGGTACTGGATGGGCCAACTAAGAGTGACACACAGCTAGGTCTGCTGTTTATAAGCAGGGAATAACTGGCTGGATATGTGAAAATCAGCAGCAGCCTTAGCTGTTGTGACCATGAAATAGAGGAGTTCAAGATCCTGAGGACAGCGAGGAAGGAGAGTAACAGAGGTACAGATCCCAGACTTCAGGAGACCAGACTTCACCTTATTTGGGGAACTAGTAGGTGGGATCCCATAGCAGACAGCTCTAAAGGGCAAAGTTGCTCAGGAAGGCTGGCACGTTTGTAAAGACAGCACCCTGCAAGTGCAAGGACAATCCATCTCAATACTCAGGAAAACAAGCCAACACATCAGGAGACTGGACTGAGCAAACGGGGAACTCATGACGGAGCTCTGACACAAAGAAATGTATAGGAGATAACAGGGACAGGCTGCAAAGCAGGAATTCAGGAACATTTAACGACAGTGTTAGAAAAGCCAAAAATGACTGGAGTTGAGATTTGCAAGGGATGCCAAGGGTAACAAGAACAGCTTCTACCTCTACATTAGTAGTAAAAGGCTGAACAAGGAATATGTGGGACTGTCACTGAATGAGGTTTATGATTTAGCATTACCTGTGTGCACTGTCACTAAGATACTCTGTACCTTCTTTGTCCCTGTCTTCATCAACAAAGTTTTCCAAGCCTCTGTCCTGAGGATTGAGTCAGCAACTACTTGTGAGAAATCAAGCAATATAAATTTATGAGAACAGATGAGTTGTCTTGCATTCAAGGGTCCTGAGAGAGCTGGCCCGTGTCCTTGCAAGGACAATATAATCAGTGAAAGGTTATGGAAATTGAGGGAAGTCCACTATGACTGGAGAAAGACAAATGGTGTATCCATCTTCAAAAAAAGGCCAAAAAGATGATATGGTAAACTACAAGCCAGTATGCCTCACTTCAGTCCCTCCAGAAATCACAAAGTGAGTCCTCTTGAAGCACATTAGCAGGCACATGGAAGAGGAGGCAGTGACTGAGAAACAGTCAGCATGGATTTACCAAGGTTAAATCATATTTGGACTACCTGATTTCCTTTTATGCATTTGTGGATGAGGAGAGAGCAGCAGATAGCATTTACCTTGACTTTAACAAGGTTTTTGCCAGCGTCTCGCACAATATTTTTGTATCAAAAATAAGAAGTGATGGTCTGGACTGAAGGACAACTCAATGCATAAAAAAATGCTTGGATGATCAGGCTCAGAGAACAGTGGTGAATAGGTCATGCTCTGTCTGGAGGCTAGTAACAAGTGGAACATCACAGAAGTCTATCTGTGACCTCTCCTGTTTAACATCTTTATCTGTGACTGGGAGGTGGCAGAGTCCATACTCAAGTTTGGAGAAAACAACATACTGGGGGAAACAGCTGATAGCCTCACTGGCAGGGCTGCCATTTACAGCAACCTAGACAGGCTAGAAAAATGGGGCAACAGGAACCTCATGAAATTCAACAAGGACAAATGTAAAGTCCCACTCCTGGGAATGCAGGCTGGGGACCAGCTCTGCAAGAAAGGATGAAGAGGATCTGCTAGACATTAGGCTAAACATCAGCCAGCAAGTGTGCCTGTCAGCAAACAAGGTCAACAGCATCCTGGACTGTATGAACAGCAGTCTAGCCAGCAGATTGATCGAAGATATTATCCTCTTCTACTGGGCACTCATTAGACTGCATTTCAAGTACTGCATTCAGTTTTGGATCCCCAATATAGGAAAGACATTGACAAACTGAAGCAAGTTCAGAAGACCACCAAGATGGTCTTGGAGCATTTTCCCTGTGAGAAGACGCTGAGGGAACAAGGCTTTTTTACCCTGCAGAATAGAAGGCTTTGGGGAGACCTAAAAGCAGCCTTCCAACACCTGTGAAGAGGTTATTGAGAACACAGAGCCAGGCTTTTTACAGTGGTGCAAGGTACGAGGACAAAAGACAACATACACATACAGAAACAAAATAGGTTCCAACTGGATGTAATGAAGACCTACCTTTTCTGCCATGAGGACAGTCAAGTGTCATAACAGGCTGCCCAGGGAGGTTGTGCAGTCACCATCATTGGAGGTTTTCAAGACCTGACTAGATACAGGCTTGAGCAACCCGGTCTGATCTCACAGTTGATCCTGCTTCTAGGAAGAAGCTGGACTAAAATCCACCTTCAATCCCTTCCAACGTAAAATTATTCTGTGATTCTATGATTCATCTCAGTTCTAGCTAATTCTATTAGAGACAATGCCTCAACCTTTTAGTATAAAGGCCAGTAAAACAACTTATACAGTGTATTTCTTCCTCAGAAATATCAACTTAGAAGCATTAAAAAAACAGGCCCCATTTTTGTGAGCATGTAACCATCAATGATGATATGAAACATATGTTAATATATATGCAAAACAAAATTCAGGACCAAGTTAAACAGTTCTGTTAGGGATAAGAATTTTTGTACTTTCAGATTCTGAGCATGCAGAGAGGACGTAACATTAACATATGGTATAAGGTTTTCTTTTGTGCCCCTTTAAACTCTTTTCTATATACAATTGCCTATACAAAATGGTGTTTGCCAAGTTAAAGTATTATGTATTTTGAGAAGGCTCAGGTGAATTGTTTTTGTGAATTATAACATCTGGAAAGCAGTCTGTCCGTTTTCTGTGATAATGGCTTTCCTTTATCAATTCATACCATACCGTAGTCTTTTAACAACTTTTTGTTCCACTAAGTGAACTAGGGAAAGCCTTACATCTCATGTTAAATTATCTATACAGTGACTCTGAAAAGCAATCTCTCGCTGTCAATCCAGATGTTTGCTTTCTTTGAAACTGGCTGAACTTCATAGGCTTTTCCTGAAGATGACAGAATCACAGAATCATTTAGGTTGGAAAAGACCCTTAAGATAATCGATTCCAACTGTCAACCTAACTCTTGTCTATTTCCTTAGTGTAGAGGGGAAAGTAGAAAAAGGTAAACTCAATGGTCTCTTATGTAGAGGAGGAGAGACAGTCAATCACTCAAAGAGCTGCTTCAAGGAAAGTTTAAGGAATCCATGTGGCTAGTAAAGAGAGCAACAGATATGCTGGTACAATGCACTGCTAAGCCCATGAAAATTAAAAAAGACTGTACAAAGATTTCAAAAGTGTTTACATTTTTAAAAATTATAGTTAAGTAGTTTGGAAGCATTTGTTGAGGTCTGCTTGAAAAGCATCAGAAATTGCAAAATATAAGGTAACTATATGTAAATCCTTATTTCATTTTACTCAAGTTAGGACTGGAGTACTGTGGGCAGTTTTAGACATCACACTTTAAATAAGACTGACAAATTAGAAACTCATCAGGAGATGAAGAGGAGTAACAAAGTATTTAGAACCTACAGAGGAAGTTTGAAAGATGATGATTTTTTACATGTTTCCATTTAATCTTCTTTTTTTTTTTTTAAGGAATTACATCTCCCAGTGTTTAAAATGTTAAAAAAATGTCAGTAACCAAGTGTTCAACACCCACTGGAAACACAATTACAACAAAAAAGCTTGTTTTGAAGTAAACATGCAGGTAAACATGCATTGGGAAAGACCTTGTAAGTAACATGACAGCGAAGCTCTAAAAGTCACTACATTTTTCAGCTGGAAATCCTTTCAGCAGAGGAAGGACGTGCTTTTTAAGAAAGCTGATGAAAGCCTTCTAGGTACATTTTGGATATACTCAATCTTAACGCAGGGCATGATATCAGATTAAAAGCTGGAGTTCTGTAAGGCCTTTGATATGGTCCCCCCCAACATTCTTGCCACTAAATTGCAGAGATATGGGTTTGATGGATGGACTGTTAGATGGATAAGGAACTGGCTAGATGGCTGCATGCAAAGAGTTATAATCAATGGTTCAGTGTCCAAGTGGAAACCAGTAATAAGTGGTGTCCCTCAAGGGTCCGTACTGGGACCAATACTATTTACTGTCTTCATTCATGACAGACAGTGGGATTGAGTGCGTCCTCTGAAAGCTTTCAGAGGACACCAAGCCGAGTGGTGCAGTTGATTCGCTAGAGGGAAGGGATGCCATCCAGAGGGACCTTGACAAGCTTGAGGACTGGGCCCATGCAGACATCATGAAGTTCAACAAGGCCAAGTGCAAGGTCCTGCACCTGGGCTAGGGCAATCCCCAGTATCAATACAGCCTAGGAGGTGAATGGGTTGAGAGCAGGCCTGAGGAGGAGGACTTGGGGATACTGGTAAATGAAAAATTGGACAGGAGCTGGCAACGTGCACTTGCAGCCCAGAAAGTCAATCATATCCTGGGCTGCATCAAAAGAAGTGTGGGCAGCAGGTTGAGGGAGACTATTCTCACCCTCTACTCCACTCTCATGAGACCCCACCTGGAGTACTGTGTCCAGTTCTGGGGCCCCCCAGTACAAGACAGACATGGATCTGTTAGAGTGAGTCCAATGATCAGAGGGATAGAACACCTCTCCTATGAAGAAAAGCCGAGAGAGTTGGGGTTGTTGAGCCTGGCGAAGAGAAGGCTCCAGTGAGGCCTTATTGCAGCCTTTCAAGAGGGCTGCTTCTCTTTGGGATTCTAAATGATGTCTTCAATTCCGTTAAAGACCTGCATTTCTGAGTTCATGGAATAAAAAGAGAAAAGGGAGATGTTCTAGGACTGCAGGAATCTGGTTTATTGGTAATTACTCCCCCATGAGGATTCTTATGAAGAGAGTATAACTCTGAATGACAGGAAGCAAAAGGAATCTATTTCTGCAAAAATCAAGACCGCCTATTGCCATAGCACACCATACCCTAAAGTAAAAAACTGTGGGAACCCATCTTTTTACACTACAATTCTGACAGAGTTATATACTCTATATAACTACATGCTACCAGTCTATAGTGCTACCAGTCTACATACATAGACACTTAAAACCAAATTAATTGTCTGTTTTGGGTTTTTTTGTTTTTGTTTTTGTTTTTTTTTTTTAATGTGGCATATGTATGGACCCTTCACTGTTTCAGCAAAAGCTAACAAAAATACCCGCCCCTAGAAGCACCACCTGCAGATTGTCAGCATTTTGTATCAGACAGGAGCTACTACTTCAGTTATATCTTATTTTGTACAATCTAAGATTGTGCGAGTGCACAGCATCTTGGAATACAAAGTTTATTCTACCATCCTTAGGCATAACTGGCATTAATGGAACAAAAAAACCCAATAAACCAAAACTATTCATTGAACTTAATATGCCCTATCACAATGAAGCTAACCTTGGCGCCCTTTTTGGAAAAGCCTGCAATCACATATTACCGCCATCCCTGCCTTCATCCTAGCCTTTTCATGTCTTCTCCATGTTCTTTGCACCTATCACCGTAGATCATACACGCAGGAATATGAAGCACGTGAACCATACAGGTAACAAGTTCTACCCACTCTGCCTCACGGCCAAAACACCAACCATCACTTCATATCACAAGACAACACCATGCAGGCAGGTCTGTGATGCACAGCCCAGTCTTTTTAATAATTCCAGATGGTTTACTTATTTGTTTCTGTCAGTCTGTTCACAGTCTGCGATTCAAATAGCTCCTTTTCCGTTTAGAATTAAATTCTACTTTATCCACTGGAAAGAATTATAGAGTATTTTTGAAGATCTTGGCAATGAAAGCGTAATGAACCAGTAACCATGGACATGTTTATTATCTAAAATTAGGCAAGAATAATTCTTAAATATTTTAAGAATATTAAAATAGGTAAGATAATCATACCACCTTCAGTCTTCTGTCTTTCCAAGTTTTCTGTGGGTAGCAGTGAAGTCCCATTCTGATCTTCCTGATCTATTGTTTTTTCTTGTGAGGTCGTTTCATCCTGTTTAAACATAGGACGGAGGGGAGAAATATAAATTTCAATACAGTTTATACTACACGTTAGGCTTCGATCTTTCAGTTAACCTTTTAAGAAATCAATTGGCAACTTTTAAATTACTCAAATTGACTCCTATGTCTTCCCAGGCTTCCATACTCATAACATTCTGCCCATCAGCTGAGAGAATGCATAAGAGCCTTCCTCAAGCAATACATCATAAAAAAGGAATTCCAAACATTTCATTCAGTTTCAGTTCCCCAACATATGGGAAAATTTCAGGAAACTCATGAAAAGATCATACCTGTTTCTTCAGTTCAGAGACCTGCACTACTGACTGGGATTTCAGCTCATTCTGACAACAGACAAGTTCTTCAGATTTCTGTACAAGTTCATCTAATGGAGAGGAAAAAAGGGAGTTAAGGTGTGTTCTTGCCCTTTTTGCTGAAATATATCCAGTTTACACATATACACAATAGCATATGAGATCCCTTATCTCTCAGTTACTGCTTCAGTTTTGGGCCGTAAAGGAGCTGGAAGAAAATCAATTTGAAATAATAGCTTGAGGCAAGATCAATGTTATTAGTTCTAATACAAACCTACAGAGAAAATGGTACAGTTTGCTTTCCTTGGTTGTTTTACTTTCTTTTACTTTATAATTTCAGTAGAAATTCAAATTCTGAAGAACGTGGCACATCTAAAAAGAACTTATATAAGTTGATGGAAAAAATCCAACAAGTTATTAAAATTAATTAAAAAAAAAATGCATCTGGCTCAAGAAATCCATAAGCCTCAAGAGATTCTAGGCTGGGACAGTACACAAGGAAAGCACTATATATGCTGCCCTACTCTTATGCTCCTCCTCTTGCAATTGGCTTTGGTCACTGCCAAAGACAGAAAGGTGGGATCGCGCTGGAGGGACCTTTAGTTTGAGAGAGTACAACCACTCCTATGTTCCTATGCAATTAGGAATTGTTATACCAAGACTTTCTTAAGAGCTATTATAAAAACAAAGCCAAATAAAAAGACAACCCAATGATCCTTAGACTCTTGAGAACCTGCTTCACCAAACTGCTGTGCTTGCTCACCCTGTAGTTTCTGTATTGTAGCACTGTTTTTGTCAGACAACACCAACAGCCGGTCAACATTCTGTTTCAGCTGATCATTTTCAGCTACAAGGGCAGCATGGCTAGATTGCAGCTCTTGCTCAGCCACCTTAAGACAACTGATCTGCAGGTTTTTCTCTTCCACCTCCAGCCTTTGTTCCTGCTCCAGGTCTTTATACTTCATCTCTAATTCAGCTTGTGCTCTTCTTGCCTCTTCCAGCTGTTCTGAGAGACACTGCACCTCCTCCTGCAAGCGATGGGAAGACAGCTTCCTCTCAGCTAGTTCCAGCTCCATCTTCTCTCTGAGATCCTGAGACTCTCGTCTCTCTGCATCTAGCACATCCCTCAGGGAGCTTAGATCCACTTCCATCTTCTGGCACTGATCTAGGAGTGTCTGTAAAAGGATATGGAAATGAATGTAACTCTCAACTAGTTCAATACATTGCCAAAGCAAAGCACCTGAATTATATTTTAAAACTGCCATTAAATCCTTTTCAAATATCTAAGTAGCAGAAAGGAGGACATAAACATGGCAGAAATCTCAAATTGTTAGAAAGAAACTGCCCTACTATTTGCAAATTGCAAGAAAGCAATGCTGGGAGAAACAAGAACTCTCAATTTTGGTAAAGACGTCTTTATTTAGAGCAGGGGAATGTAGAGAAATAAACAATACAACAGTGGCTATGAGTTCTCTTTTAGAGGAAAGAAAGCTTCCCAAAAAGGGGAGGAAGGACTACAACAAAAGAGGGGGAACTCAACAATTGCAGAGTACAGTTAGAAAACAGAACAAAAGCGTGTATGTGAAAGGTGGTCAAAAATGCTGAAATAGGAAACTGGAGGTAACAGAGTGCTCCACACAGTGCCCACTGCTTCAAGAAAGATCCCACAAAGCTGGCTGACACTGACCAGAGATTTAAGACAACCAAGGAACAGAAACAGACCCTACACTTGCCAGAATTCCTTTTGTGAAACTTCCTCCTCCCGGAACTGTGGATGGTCAGCTTAGCTAGTTTCAGGAGGAGGCTGATGAGGAGCTCCCTTTACTTTATGGGTAGGAAGAGAAGCTTCAGCCACATGGCCTCAAGCTTATATGTGTACCAAGGTCTCCCTCTGACCATATAATGTGCATGAGAGCAGTCAAACACACAGAGGAGGAGCCAGGGGATCCCAACAACCATGCCATGAAGATATCAATGCCACCACTCCATGAAACACCCTGGTGAGCAATGTAATCAGTAGGGAGTACAAGTCAGCTCACTGAGGCTCTTCACCTCTGCCTGGTGGTAAGAGGTCCCACCACCGTGCCTGGCTGGGACACACGGGAAAAGAAAATACAGTGATGTATAAGTGTATAAAAGTTATTGAAGTGAGGTTTAGCACTAGATTGGCTGGAGATTGTGCAGCCTACTAGCATGAGACTGATACAGTGTAAGTATCTTCTGAAGGGTTGAAGAATTATTTTCAGAAGTTCAGATATTGGAAAAAAAATTTAAAATACACTCATCCTGTATCTGCAAACAAGCCTTTTAAGAGATTGCATACTAAACCCTGTCTCAAGGGGCACATGTATATATAGTCATATATGCACAGACTTGATCTCATTCTCTTCACGCTCCAAAATGATTAAGTGAGAGCCAATACCACTCCAGAAGCTGTGTCATCATATTAGCAAGTTCTCAGCAAGACATACCAAAGAATATCCGTATATGTTATGATCTGGCCTGGATACTGCAGTCCAGAACAGCGTAGCTACAGCTGTGTTAGGCCCTTTTGTCTTAGGCAAAGTATTGTGTATTTGATGGCTTTGAATGTATCAGTCAGCAATGTGGAGTATGAATAGCTTTTGTCCCTGTCCACCTGCCCAGAATCTGGGTCACCAGAGATGGCTGCTGCAGCGTCCCTATCCCTGTTGTTTGGCTGGATCTACTATAAGCTATGCATACAGACCTGAAGCTCTAAAACCTGACCTGAGGGAGCTCCCCAGCTGATTTCATGCTGGAAACCTGGTGCCAGAAACAAGCTAATCTGAAATATTGACAAAGGCCCTATCCAGCACTTACACATGAGAGTAAGGCAATAAGCAAAGCATGAAAAGGTACCTGGTTTTGTTGTTCAGCAGTACATAATTCCTGCTGCAGCAATTCTACCACCTGAGTTCGTCCTAGGAGAGCTGCTTCCTGCTCCTCTAGCTTTCTCTGAAGTGTACGCAGGTTCTGTGAGAGAGAGAGTGCTATATCAGTATCTGGGAGGCTAACATAAGAAGGCTAGATTTCCTGGTTTCATCCATACACCTAGTTTTCATAACACAGTTACTTTAATAGCCTGAATAACTTCATTTTTGTTGACACTTATTCTGGAGCCCTGGTGCAGTAGGAAGAGCTCACCGCTGTTTCACAAATAAGGAACTGGAGCACAATAACTTAATACTTCTTTTTAACTGTTCTTTCTTTTCAGCTGATAGCAAATCAGCAGATTGAAGCTAGGACTCAAAGTCCAAACTAGCATCCCAAAAAACCCCAAACAATCAAATCATCTCTTCTCACCCCTTCTGAGTTACTCTGATGAGAACTGCTCTCTCAGGGTGTCTTCAGACTGGTAAAATTTCTTTTCCTTTCTCCTCCCATAAGATTATTATATCAAATATACCTGCTGCATCTCTACTTCCAGATCTGACTGGGCCACTATCTTGAGCAATTCAGCTTGGTGCTGGTGAACCTGCTCTTCTAGGAGAGCTTCCTTCTCCTGAATCACTTCTTGCAGGGAGCTCAGCTGAAAACATAAGCCACAAAATAAAAAAAAACCAACAAAGTTATGAGCTTGACAGACATGCAGGCTTTCTTTCAACATGCATCAGCATATTATGTGTGAGATGTCTTCAGCTTGATAATCCTATATGTCACCTTGATCAAATGGTACCTTTATCCTACTAATATATATATATTAACTGATAATATTTCATATCCCAGAAAGCAAAACCCACAGAATTTCATCTACAAACATGCAGAATGATAAAAGAGATGATTACTATATAATTACAAGTTCATAAAACTTCCGAGTTTTTATTTGTATAGGATGCAGCCCAATTCACAGACCAAAAGCTAAACCTGCAATTCTGAGTATTAACGAAAACCTTTCCATAAATAAATACAATGTAACACAACAGCCATTACATTATGTGATGAAAAGCTCCTCTGCACATCCACAGTAGAGCACAGAGAAGGAAAGGCAGGTCTGGGAGCTGAAAGAATACTCTGCCCCAGCTATCCCAAAGCCCACCACAGAACAGCAATGGCAGGCAGGGAAGAACCCAAATTCTGACCTGGAGGAAGAGACAGCCTGGCCAGGCCCTTCCAGGGGCTGTTCTCCCCTCCTCAGAGAGCCATCAGTCTCATTGTCCAGGTGTAAAACCCATTAAGACGGCTTAACTGCAGAGCATGTTTTGCACCAAGGGTGGTTACTGCCCAGGGGTATAGGATATATTATGGCACGCAGGTGAAGAGCATTTTAGGATTGTGGAAGACGCATGGAATGTCTAGTGGAGGAACCAAAGGCAGGGAAATGGATGGACCTAGGTGATTTGGGGAGGAACAAAAATGAAAAAATAGAGGGTAAGGGAATTAAAAAAGGCCAGTTGTGTGAACAGCGGCTGCTCAATATGCTTGTCTGGCCATGCCCTGCACCTCATCAGCAGTCTGTCTTGTCTTCTTATGAAACACCATTTCTCTTTCATTGTGGGAGAGGGTCTGTATTCAGCGTGCATTTGTGTGCGTATGGGGGATCTAAGTGCTAGTAACTCGAATCAGACTGTGGGTCAAAGAGCCTGTGTGTCCACGGTACCAGCAACTGGAGAGATTAGAGCAAGCGAACTTAAGTGCCGGCAACTGCAGTGGGACCACAGGTCAGAGGGCCTCAGACGCAATTGTCTCTCTTAAATTATCCAGTGTCAAGACACGTGGGAACGGTTCAAAGCCACATCAGGGGAGGTTCACACTTGACATTAGGAAACAAATCTTTGCCAAGAGGGTGGTCACAGACTGGAAGAGGATTCCTAGAGAGGTGGTCGATGCCCCAAGCCTGGCAGTGTTTAAGAGGCATTTGGACAATGCCCTTAATAACACGCTTTAACTTTTGGTCAGCCCTGAAGTGGTCAGGCAGTTGGACTAGATGATCATTGTAGGTCTCTTCCAGCTGAACTATTCTATTCTATCATGCTAGTGTAAGTGGTGGGGTGAGAAACACAAACACACACACAGACTGATGAATAGAAAAATGTTTCTGTACCTGTGTTGCATACTTGATTTCAGCATCTTTCAGATTCACTTTGGCTAGAGACAGCTGTTCCTTCAGATCCTGAACGGTCTCCTCTTTCTCCCTGAGCTGCTCTTTTAGTGCTTCAGTTTCCTCTCTATGCCCTTCACATGTATTTTGGTTATCCTGACATTGCAAGAGGAAAGAATTGGGAAGAAAAGAAACAAAAGAAAGTAAACTGATCAGTATTACTAGTCAATTTAAAAAAAAATAGAATGCTACTGCACTCTTGACTCCTGCCCAGATGCTTGTTTCTACTACATTTCTTAATTTCTTAACTTCACATTTTCTTTGTTTCTTTAAATGAAGTTGTCCTACATTAAGTAACTATTTTCCCTATTTCTATGTAGATACGCACAAGATGTCTTTAATTGGGAAGCGTCAAATCACTTTGGAATGGTTAATGATTCATGAATGCTTGCCATATAAACTAAAGTAAATAATATTATTAAATAAAATATAATACATAATCTATGATATGACCACCTTGATTTGTGAGGTTTTTTAATTTCACAGATTTCTCTAACACCAGAAATGAAATATTTTTTAATTAGCAATACAAGAATATTCTCCACATGACAAAGGGGCAGACATTAACCATTCTAGACTATAGAAAATGCCCATGGAAATCTCTTTAGACTGAATGGATTTATAGCAATGAACCTGTTAGAAATAAGCAAAGGGAACATGCAAACAATCATCAGTTCTACTCCACTCTGAGGCACTAAAATCCTCTGTTTATGACCATGAAATCCAAACTCAGACAACATTTCACATAAAACATGTGCTCAGGCTATGTCTACTCAGACATACTAGCACACTACACCCGCACTCTTTTTTTTTGTCTCTCAAAGACCACCTGTATGGCAGGCAATTCTCTAATACCACAGTTGTACACCTACTTAACACAGTCACATATTAGGTCCAGCATATCAACACTGTCACTGAGAAGCCGGGAAAACATCCCTCTGTTGTTATCATCTCAGCACTCCCAACTACTTCAAGCACTTAGTGGTGGAGATTTTTGACTGAATATATACAAAGTGTATCTCTCTCCTTTTCCTTGTTACAGGTACTGGATCAAAGATCACCAATAACATGGAGTCTACGGAGTATTTATGTCCTTTAAACCCATTCTGAAAAATTTATGAAGGGTTTTAGAAGGACTTATAAGTCGGTGTAATAAAAGTAAGAAAGAAGCTACTGTTCCTCAAAAGATGTGTCACCTACAGAGAAGGTCTTTGGAGGCAGGTACAATAGACAGACAAGGAAAGCTTTAATTGCACTTAAGCTTAGAAGTAGAACAGGGAAAAAAAAGAAACAACGGGAGTGCAGGAAGCTTTAAGAAGCCAGGGATATACATAATTTATAAGGCTGGGGCAAAGCAGTTGCTTGCAGGGAAAGATGGGTGGATTAGTTTGCTTACTTGGGATTAGCTTTCAGGATTGATATTTACAGTCGGATTTGGAAAAGCTTCTGATGAAGTCCTTGCACGCTGGCCCCTACATGGAGTGCCACAATTAAGGACAGCAGCACAGCCACAAAGTTCCCAGAACTCAAGCTTTCAAATGTCATGTTTTTCCAAAATGTATAAATTCTTATATCTGAACATAATTTGTGTTTATCCACTTTGGAAGTTTAGGAGGAACCTCAATTGTTCTGTTCACAAATACCAACTACTTAATGGAAAGATAGTACCAATTAGATATCTAAGATGGGGCCCCCATCATGGAGAGGAAAAAAAAGCCCTTTGCTTATTTATCCCTCATGATTTCCAAAAGGAACCGCTAATGTTCAATACCTCAGCACAACATGCAACCCTAACCTAAATTTTTCATCTTCAAATGACAGGGTATCTGTCTAGAAAATATCACCATTACTCAAGACAGCATCTACTTGGGGAAATAATTATAAATAAAGGAATCTGTAGCTTCTCAGTAGGTCTAACCTTACAAGAAAGTATCTAGAAAGTGCTTTCTGGGTCAAATACATAATACTGCAGGTAACTGCCCTAACATAATTTCTCTTAAATGATGTTCTAACCCAAAACCAATAAGGCTCTGGTCCACATCATTTCCACTGGAGACTGCATCAAGACCTCATTCCTCTAATTAGAAAGCCATTTTTCTTAATGGCTAATTTACACCCATCCATTCAGCTGTTAGTACTGCCCTTTCACTTCAAAAGTTCTCCCACTTTCTTGGTGCTTACCTTCCTCATACAACCGTAGAAAGAAATTATGTTTCCTCTCCGCCTTTGGTTGACTAAACAGCCAAGCTATTTTGAGTGTCTAGTAAAAGCAACTACTAACATGACGAGAGAATGGAAAGCCTCTTGCTGCTCTCAAAATTTATCTTTCCTAATTCCAAGTGAACAGAACATGACAACACTCCACATGGGGCCTTGCCACTCGTAGTAAATGGTTGGAAGGATAACTGTTTGCCTTACATAAAAAAGAGTAAGCCTCTTTTTAAAATCTACATCACACTGATTAACTGATGATAAGCTTTCTCTCGTTTTGCCTTCTTCAACTGATAAATTTGGACTTTGAAGCAACAACACTCATTAGTCCATAACAGCAAGTCTCCACAAAGTAATGTAGCATATGTACACCTGTGTGCTGTTACACATGAATAAGCTAAAAAACAGCCTCAGCAGCAAGACAGCAATGCGAAGTGACGTAGCTAAACAGCCTCCAGGGCCTTCCCTGTGCTCTGCAGCCAGGGGACTTTTTTCATGGCCTTGCAGTATACAGTGGCAGGATACCACAAGTGCTTGATCTTGTACTTGTTAAATTTTTGCCTTATTTTTATATTATATCAATCCTCAAGATCATCCAATTCTTCCTGTATGAAAACCAAATGCTGCTTTGCATTGCGAAAGATTATCAAGATTGTATTGTAAAGTGAATTACAGTAGCACATTTCTATGATTTTATGATGCCATCAGTCAAAACTAGTAAGCACAAGTCATGGCAGCAATCTTTACTCCATTTGCGGTCACCTCTCACCTGACAGCTCTCATGCTCACCCTTTAATGTTTCCTATAATCTTTTAATCTTTTTTTTCAATGTTTCAAATAACCCTTATCTTCTCTGGTTTAATGAACATCATCTGATGTCCTGCAATCTGTCTGGACTTCTGTCACATTTCCCTTACCTAATATTACTAACTTTTTAAGGAAAACTATGTGGTCAGCAGAACAATTTTAAATTTTCAAAAATTACCAGTTCCAGTGGGAGTTTCTAGCTAGTAACTAACGGCTTCTTTAATGTCTTGGTACAGGACACCTCATTTTTTACCTGGCTTTACACAATTATGGCTTGTTAACCATAAAACTTTGTGGTGGCACAGGCAGCTACATGGCTGGAAATTTTTTTTTGTTTTTTACATTTAAGTTACCGCCTTTCAGTTTTAATGACCTCCTTAACTCCTTGTTCCTGTATTTGAGCCAACCTTCCCTCTCCTTTGCTGTACTCACATGGCAGATAACATTTTGAAACTTAAAGCTCAGATAGACATGTGATTTCTGCAGGAAAGAACTTAGCTACAACAGATTACTGAAGATATGCAAAGTGAAACCAGCCCATACCCTTGAGGAGATCACGTTGTGCACTCCAAGGACATCTGCAGTAAAAGGAAGCTGGACAGACCAGCTTCCTACAGCATAGACAACCTTGCTGGAACTATCGATGTCCTGCTAACATGAGAGAGAGAGGACCTGCTAGCTCACTGGGACCTAAAATGGCACCAGATTATCAGTAGAGGCTAACAGCTTTTAAGTAGCCCTGTTCTCCCAACCTTGGGATGCACTTGCTCTTCTGATAAGGTCTGCGCAGGCAACGGTGATCCTTTCTCTGTCAGCTCCTCAATGCGTTTGTTCAGAGATGCCAGTTTGGCTTTGGCTTGAAGTTTAAGCTTCATCAGCTTAGCATCTGCAGCTTCTCGCTCTTCCTGTAAAAGAAGGATACAAGCTGACTGCACTTAAAATTCCAGCCGCTCCTCCCCACGCCTGCAGCATTGCATGGGGTTGTTGTGACCCAAGCGCAGGACCCGGCACTGAGCCTTGTTGAATCTCATACAGTTGGCCCCGGCCCAAGAGTCCAGCCTGTCCAGGTCCCTCTGTAGGGCCTTCTGCCCTCCAGCAGATCGACACTTCCACCCAACTTGGTGTCATCTGCAAACTTACTGACGGTGCACTCGATCCCCTCGTCCAGATCATCAGTGAAGATATTGAAGAGGACTGGCCCCAACACTGAGCCGTGGGGAACACCACTCGTGACCGGCCGCCAACTGGATTTGACTCCATTAACCACCACTCTCTGAGCTCAGCCATCCAGCCAGATTTTAACCCAGCACAGAGTGAACTTATCCAAGCCGTGAGCAGCCAGCTTCTCCAGGAGAATGCTGTGGGAGACTGTGTCAAAGGCCTACTAAAGTCCAAGTAGACAACATCCACAGCCTTCCCCGGGTCACCTTGTCATAGAAGGAGACCAGGTTAGTGAAGCAGGACCTCCCTTTCATAAACCCATGCTAGCTGAGCGTGATTCCCCGGTTGTCCTGCATGTGCTGCGTAATGGCACTCAAGATGATCTGCTCCATGACCTTTCCCAGCACTGAGGTCAGGCTGACAGACCTGTAATTCCCTGGATCCTCCTTCCGACCCTTCTTGTAGAGGGGCATCACATTTGCTAACTTCCAGTCATCTGGGACCTCCCCAGTTGACCAGGACTGCTGATAAATGATGGAGCGTGGCTTGGCCAGCTCCTCTGCCAGCTCCCTCAGTATCCTCGGGTGGACCCCATCTGGCCCCATAGACTTGTGGGTATCCAGGTGGAGAGGCAGGTCTCTGACTGTTACCTCCCCT